GTCATTATTGTACAGGATTAATATGGTGGAATAAACTGTTCGATATGATAGAAATGTATTGATATCATGTGTTTAACATATAACCCTCGAAACTGAGGCAACTTTAAGGTCAAGTGATTTAGCATCTTTACTTTAATCTTTGTCTCTATGAAACTCCACAGACTGACAAACAGACTTTTTACAACTAATAAACTCCAACTAATAGTTGTAATTGTAGTTGTATTTGATGGTAGATTTCTTTAATCTCAGTGTTTTTTAATCTGTCGCTGTTCTATCACATTTATTGTCTACTAAGGTCCACATATTAAAACACTGATGAGGGTCAACTATCAGACTAATCGGTCCCATCTGCCTGTGAACAGATTCTAGCTCAAGTCTTAAGGTTTAAAAAGTTCATATTTTATAGGTGAGCTAGGAATGGCCTCTCCTCAGAATGATAAGATTTCAGGGTCAATAAATATAAAATCAGCACAGGTCCAAGGTCACTTTTTTCCAAAATGCTGTATAACTTCAAAAGGCTGGAAAATAGATTTATAGTATTTGATGCAGATAAGCAACCATGTTGGGGTTTTCTGTTGGTGATGTAGCATCTGCCATTGGATGATACTTCAAGGTCAAACTCAAGGTCATACATTTGGACTAACCTATAACTTGAAAATGGTGCAAGACAGACCCATTGTTTGCATCGGAAACCATTTACAGGCTTCCCACTGGGGATGTGACATTTGAGCGTGGGTGATGTTTCAAAGTCAAACTCAAGGTCATAAATGTTGATATTGCCATGATATTTTAAATAACATGTGATGCATACATGGATAGTAGCCATTTCACCTTGGACAACCATGATCAGTGGAAGAAAACATCTATTTTGTGGTCGGTTGGGTTAGGGTTAAAGAAAGAAAGAAAGAAAGAAAGAAACATGCGTTTTGTGAGCTACAGCTTGTATGTGTAAAGAATGCAGATGTGAAACATAACCCGTAAACTGCTGCCAATCAAATGGCAAATATGCTATTGTGTAGAGTGTATATAATATACACTACACTTTTTGAATTTCCCTTCTGGGATAAATAAAGTATTTTTCATTTCATTTCTAAGTCAGATTCTGATGAAGTCAGTGTCTCACCAGCCATGAACCTCACCGCACATCACTGCTACAGACAGTACTGACGTTATTCATGGCATAGGACTAGTGAGTACTTAATGATACACTGCCCCTGTCAGCTCTCTGGTGGTCTAGTGGTTAGGATTCAGTGCACTCACCGCCATGGCCTGTGTTTGATTCCCGGTCAGGGAACACCTCCTTCTTTGACACAAATAGAATGAGGTCATCTTTCAGCTATAGCACACTGGAACATGCAAACAACATAGAGGTGTTCATACATTCACATAACATGTATGACATAGTAACATAAACATGCAACCGGACTTCAGCATCGTTTTATTCAACATCATATACACTGATGAACAACATACTTTAATATTGTTTAACACCATTTCTGACACATATAATATTGAAGTACTAAACTATGACACTACACTGTTCTAAACATTTTTACGGCTATACTACACTGACATTTTTAATAACATTCTATGACCCTTTAACAACACAGATACAACATACTGTACTGACACATATCTAACAATATTTTAATCCATTACTTCTAGTTAACTGGTTAATTCATTTCTTTTTAAGTGAACCAGGTAATCCATTACTTTTGAAATGAAATGAAAATTAATGAAATGAAAAATGAAATGAAAAATACTTTTAGTTAACTTTTTTAACTTTTTTTTTTTTAACTTTTTAAATTTTTTAATTAACTTTTAGTTAACCATTTAGTTAATCCATTACTTTTAGCTATCCAGTTAATTCATTACTTTTAGTTAACCATTTAGTTAATCCATTAGTTTTAGTTAACTAGTAAGCCATTACTTTTGGCAAACTATTTATTACAGTTAACTAATTCATCCATTACTTTTAGTTAACCCGGTGATCCATTACTTTTCTTTAACCAGTTGATTCATTAATCTTTATAATGCATTACTTTTCCTTACCTAATTAATCTATCACTTTTAGTTCACAATGTATTCACCATTTTATCCATTACTTTTAGTTTAACCACTGAGTTATCCATTCAGTGCATTACTTTTCGATCATCAGTTAGTCCATACAACTGTTATAGCTGCCTTGGTGCAGATTGTGTCTTTTTAATAATGAGATTATATTTCTTGTTTGTTTGTTTTTTTCCCCCAAATTGGTCACGTTAACTTTTCCACAAACCCTTTAGAATTCATATCCCTGGACATCTCTGCTGTAGACGACTAGTTGGTCCTACTGAGAGACATGAACAGCTGAGCAAGTGAGTTTCACCTGATTAACTTTATATATTAAATACAGTTTGTATTTAAAATGAACAATAGTGATTTTTCCAGTGATTCAGCCTCTGACAGGGACAGTGTGTACAATGTGTGCGTGTGTGTGTGTGTGTGTGTGTGTGTGTGTGTGTGTGTGTGTGTGTGTGTGTGTGTGTGTGTAGGGGCGGGGTTTGTGTGTGTGACGCACAGATTTTTTTTCTTTTTTTCTCTACTGCGCAGCTGCTTTAGTTGTAGTTTTTTGGTTTAAAAGAAAAAGTGATTCAAAGATACCAGACAGAGAATAAAACTGAAGGTGTCCTTCATTTAAATTCAGCAGCTTTCTCTCGCTCTCTGTTTATATCTCCCTCACCCTCCCTCACCCTCTCTCTCTCAGATTATCTTCATCATCCTGCCGCTGAGATGTAAGTACTCCAACCTGTTTTATTCATTTTTAATCATATTGAAACCCAAGAAATATCTGAGTATATATTTACTATTTCAATATAAAGTGCAGTTAATATGCTACAGGGAGAAATTTGTCTTTTAACATCTAAGTTGAAGCGAAATTACTCATTTTTTCTTCCTAATTCGTTTTTTTTTTTTTTTTATTTGATTGATCCATTTCTTCTTTAAAAGGCAAACTTGTTAACACTCTGGAAATTTCTGGGCTTCAGCTGTAAGACTCTGCAGAAATATGACCATGACTCACCGGCTGACTCACCTACAAAACTATCCATCAACATTGTGATCGGCTCAGCTGAAGTGCTTTTGTACAATTTGCATCAGCTCTTATTCTGTCAGACAAATGTACAATTTATTCAACTCACAAAACAACTGCGGCGAGTGTAACCACGGAAAGAGATGATCTAAATACAATTATATAAGACTGAACCGCTTGAATGATATTTTTATTTAGAGAAACGACAGATTTTGTGTAGATCTTTTAGTGTATTTTCTGTTGGGGGAGGGGAGGGTGGAGTATTAGTGCGTGCATGTTGATCTCCATCAGTCAGGCTGTTGCTGCTGATGCTGCTGCACTAATCTTTCTCCATTTTGCTTCTGGAAAACAAGCCTGACTGGCAATAAAAGTGAGCTGCTGTTCAGTGTAATCAGGCATCGCTCTACCTGCTCCGTGTGTGTGTGTGTGTGTGTGTGTGTTTAGATGTAAAAACACAATTTTGTTGGGATTTTACCATTTCATTCTTCTAAATTGCTGAGCTGTTTCAGCCTCTGATACTTTGATTAGGTGGACGGAGGCCAAAGTTAGATGAGTCATGTTTCTATTATTAAAGGAGCGTTTCTGTTTTGTCATTCAGACTGTGTTCCTTCAGTTTGTGCTTTTGTAAAGTTGCAGAGAAATGCCAGATTTGACTCTGTATTTCACATAATGGTGGAATTTAAAAAAAAAATAAAAAATTAAGTTAGTGTAAGTGAAAATACTCAAATACAAGAAAACACGAGACAAGAAAAAGTCCTGTGTACTCAATTACTAATAAGTGCAGATGTATTACACCTAATATGCAGATGTGTCCATTTCACAATGATATCTATAACAGCTATGTTATTAATTCAAACCTGCACATTCCTTGGTTTTGGAATCTATTTAATCTATTTGCTTATGAGATTTTTCACTTGAAATAGATCTACTTACATATTTTACATATTTTTTTCATAGACTAATAAGTTGTCAAATAGATGAAATGCAATAAAAGTGCAATATGGTGAGTTGTTTAAAACTTTTACACTTGGATAGTTTGTTGTTCTGCGTTGTTGGGATACTTTAACTGCACACAGACACTTGTGATTAGTTTTGAACAGTTGCAACATGACAGCTTGCAAAATGTGATGAAGACTACAAGCTTAAGTGTGTTTGTCTTTTAGCAAAGTTTCTTGAGATTTTAACTCTTTGATGAAAAGGAAAAAAAAATAAAAGTCAGTAAAAAGCTTACTGATGTGAATGAATGTCTGACTGATGCATCTCATGCAAAGTTTTTTAGCAGCTTTTGAGATACAAAAAATACACACTGCCTCGTCTAAATTAAAAATTGAATTCAAAAGCAGTAAAATCCACTTTTGGTCGTTTCACTACGTTTTGCTGCTACAACCTTACTAGGTCTCATCCGGCCTGGTTAGCAAACTTTAGCTTTGATATGACTGTATAGATTTACAACCTTAGCAATGACTGAATCAACAGAAGCTAAACAGCATCACTGTCATCTGAAAACCATGTATCTCTGAAACATTTCAAGACAAAGGTTTCGTGGGAAGCAGTTGTTGAGTTTGCTGACTGCAATGATGTGTTTAGCTCATGAAGTCTGAGAATATAATCAACCTGTAAATGATCTGAAAAGTTCAAAATCACCAAGTCTTGAGGTCCGAGTTTTTTTTGTTTTTTTTTGACAGAGTCTCTCATTAAGAACTGGGGTCCCTTTAACAAAAATCTGCAACATGCAAACTGCAACGTCCAACACAAGATCATCTGGTCTCGTGTTAATTTAGTCACTTGTAGCTCATCATATTGACGATCCATGTATAAGCACAGGAGAGGATTGAAAAATTTGAGAATGAATTTGCGATTTGCAAATGAAAACTGTATGTGAAGCTAGAGGTTGGAACCGTTTATGATCTGCATGAGTGTAGTGCTTTCATATTTCTTTTATGAAACAGAGGAGTTCTGATTAAGAGAGCTGAAGTTATGGCGTTCATTTTTACCAAAAGACATCGATGTTCATGCAGAACTCGCCTGTTGTCTGTAATGAACAGTCCATCTGTCTCCCTCGGTCCTTTCATGTGCACATTTTTCCTGCAGGTCGTCTTCAGAAGGAGGAACTGGAGGAGCTCCAGGAGCCCCAGAGGGTGAGGGAGGCCCTCCGGCTGCAGCCCCAAACCTGACCAGCAACAGACGACTGCAGCAGACACAGGCTCAGGTGGACGAGGTGAGGAAACTGTTGCTGCTCTGCTGTTACTGTCAGAACCAAAGACTGGTTCACTGCAAACAGATTTAGGGAAGACATCCAAAATGAATTCAAGAAATGAAAATAATGGAGCTTCAAGGTTCAAGACTTTGTCATTTAAATTAGAACACTTTGTTAGTATAAGCTGGATGTTTACCTGTGACAGAGACGCTGACAGGTGTGTTGGTCCTCAGGTGGTGGACATCATGCGTGTGAATGTGGACAAAGTCCTGGAAAGGGACCAGAAGCTGTCGGAGCTGGACGACCGGGCCGACGCCCTTCAGGCCGGAGCCTCACAGTTCGAGAGCAGCGCCGCCAAACTCAAGAACAAGTACTGGTGGAAAAACTGCAAGGTGGGAATGATTCAGAGTGTGTTTCATCAACATCCAGCATCAGCCCTGTTCAGTGCAGAATCCTCTACAGAACCTTTTGACCTCCAGTGTGACTCCAAGACTCCATGTTTGTTGTGTACAGTTGCTGTGGTTCCAAGTGTGTTTTTCTTCTCATGTATGCGACGTGGCACCATGACTGCTCTGCAGGGATGCAAGACTTCCTGCTCACCTAGCATTAGCAGTAGCATTAACATTAGCACATGTGAAAGTTCTCTCCAGCTGCAAATCATACAAAATTCATCTGAATAAATAAAACATTATTCACTGCTTAAGAAGCTAAATTCAAAACTGGTTCACATCCAGAGGAGGATTTAGATGGAACTCTTTTCAGTACACAAGCCGACTGAAAGCAACCATTGCTCTGAAGTTACTTCCACAATCTGTAAAGACAATTTTAACCACCTGGATGAATGGACTGGACCATGGAATTAAAAAAAAAAGATTTATTGTCTGTTTTCCAAGTTGCACCTGTGTTTCAGAATTGAAACAAAGATGGCAGCTGAGGTTTTGTGGATATTCTTTGTTTACCTCAGACAACTCAGCTATTTCAACTCAAAGCTCCTGTTGATGGTGGCTTTCCATTTCCCCTCTCATGTTGGCTGTATTCACCTTCTTTTTTTTGTAAAACTGTTGTTTCATGGCAGCTGGCAAACCATGAGGTGACTATTTTCTGCCACCCACTGCTTCGGAGTGTGTTGTTGTTTTTCGCTTTTGTTGGTTGGGGCCACAGTTGAGAAACACACAGTTCAGAAAAAACATCATTACAGCAGTGAAATCAAAAGTGACAGTGCGTTTGTTGTATTTTTCATATTGATTGTAAATCTAACTTAGTTTTATGTGTTTTTTTGTACATTTAAAAGTTAGTTCAGCCTTATTTATAGTTTCGCATTAACAAAATCTGTCTCAGTTTTTAGATTGGCTTTGCGATTCAGTATGATCTGTTCCAAACTCTGGACATCCAGGTGCTTGGAGTAGAGTCGCTGCTTTTTCAAGGGAAAGTATCCGGCTGAGCTGGTTCAACATCTGATTAGGATCTTTAGGAATTCTCAGGAGGGATTTCATATCTAGTTTGCATGTTCTCCCCGTGCAG